AGAAAAGCCTGTGACATTATTATTAACAGATAATACTTGATGAATGAATACATTAGGTATATTGACGAGGTATAGTAGGGTGGAAGGGAGCACATCTTTCTGCAGGTACAGATTTGGTTGTGAATATTTCTGCATCCATGATTGTTGGTGCTACATGTATATTAATAGAGATAATAGAGCACACGAGAGTCACAGTCATGGAAATGTCTCAGACAGAATCAAACACGTAGCAGGACAAAGCTTCTAGGCTTGAAGGTGAAGGACCAGCATCTTGGGGGACATCTATGTCAACTGGCACAACACAGTTCATAAAGACATGTTCCGCATCCTACTTTGATGAGTAATGTCTGGGACCTTACAATTTTGCAAGTGGCCATCTAAGATACAACTGTTGTTCTCTTTCCATGTGGACCAAAGGAGAGTGGGGATAATAACCAAAGACTCAAAGGAGCAATTAGTTCAAAGAGCTAATGGACCACATAAGCCACAGCCTACATGACCTCAAGACCAGAATTAGAAGGTACTTGTCAGCCACTATTAACTGCTCTGACTGGGATTACAACAGAAGTCTGGGATAGAGCTGGAGAAAATGAAGAATGAAAAATCAAATGAACAAAAAGGATTGGAGTTACTGGTCTGAGAGAAACTGGAAGAACCCCTGAGACCATGGCCAAAGACACCCTTCTGACCTGGAGCTGAAGCCATTTCTGGAGACCAACTTTCAGACAAATAATAGACCCATAAAATAAACAGTACTTGAGAGGAGTGAGTTCCTTTGAACAATCAATTACATGAAATCAAAGGGATAAAAGCAAAGATGAGAAGGCAGGAAAGAGTAGTAAATCCAGAGGGATGAAAATGAGGAACCCAGGGCAGAAACCAAAAGAGGGCTGACACATCGTGGGACGTGCAACCAATGTTGTGGAACACTTTAGGTACAGACCATTGAATGGGTAACTATTAGCTCTGTAAATTTCTTCTAAAGCGCAAGAAAGAAAAAAATGGATAAAGAAATGAGGAATTGAAGAGAATACCCTAACCGCATGCCATCTTCATAGCACTGGTTTTCATGAGTGGAAACCCCATCAAAGAAACTAAGCCCAAGCCTATGCCAGACCCCGGAATCTTAGAGAAGTTGCAAGTATCTGTGATAAAGAAAAAGCTCTGGCTGTCTCCCCCTGACTCCTAGGCCTACAGACTCTGAGAGGGCCCTGAACAAAACAAGATGGCTGCTGCCCACAAAGGATTCTGGGTAATCACCCAATGACCTGGCCAGGAAAAACACACCAAACACCTTCATGATAACATCAATGGAAACTCATTAACTAGTACAAAAGCAACCCATTAATCATTGTTCAGACTCTGCACATGGGCACGGTGTTCTCTGGACCTCAGCACATTGATACCTAACCCTCACTGTTGTGTACAGATGTCTACCCAGGTACCCCTGGTGTTTTTCAGACTGTTGCAAGATTTACGCTGATGATCTCAGTATGTCAGTTTCCTCATAAAACCTTGTCTGATTAAATAATAACAATAAAAATAACCAGTCCAAAAGAAGACAATGGTGGTGGTTATGTGCC